CCTGGTCAAGTCTGGCTACCGTTACCACTAATGGTCAGATAGTCAGAGAGCTTGTACTGTTTTACTTGGGACCATTTTCATACGACTTTCTGGAGCGCCCGAGTAATACGTTTCTGTACAGTACAATATATATATGTGTATGGAGTATATATATATACACACATACAGCTGTCGTAATGTACAACACGTACACGACACAATACAGCCGTAGTAATGTGCAAGTACAACATTCAACCCTGAGTAGAAATGATGACATCCAATCAACAATCAATCTTTGATGACATCCAATCAACAATCAATCTTTGATGACATCCAATCATCAATCAAACTTTGATGACATCCAATCAACAATCAATCTTTGATGACATCCAATCAACAATCAATCTTCGATGACATCCAATCAACAATCAATCTTTAATGACATTCAATCAACAATCAATCCCTGATGACATTCAATCAACAATTAATCTTTGATGACACCCAATCAACAATCAATCTTTGATGACATTCAATCAACAATCAATCCCTCATGACATTCAATCAACAATCAATCCCTGATGACATTCAATCAACAATTAATCTTTGATGACACCCAATCAACAATCAATCTTTGATGACATTCAATCAACAATCAATCCCTCATGACATTCAATCAACAATCAATCCCTGATGACATTCAATCAACAATCATGGGAGCAAAGAGGTTAACAGTGAAACAATCCCATAATTTTTGTACACACCAATTTGATGTGCACAGGAGAAGATAATGACTACAGGGAACCTGTGTGCGTGTGTCTGTGTGTGCGCGCGTGTGTGAGTATGTTTGTGTGTGTGTTGTGCGTAATTTGTACCTTTGTACACGTGTTGTCAATATAACCTGAGGAGCTATGGTAATGTTACAACACACGTGTCACAGAGGTAGGTGCACCGCCCCGTGCGGCAGGTGTGAGGCTGGTATGTGTGTGTACGACACGCCACTGTGCTGCCCTCGGTGTGCTGGTGTGTACACCTGGTGCGGGACACGCTCGTGCAGTGTGTCGCTGGGTGTCACCCGTGTGCTGTCCTCTACCAAAGCGGTGTCAAAGTGTCCTAGATGTGTGTCATTGTGACCTAGATATGCCCCCTCCCTCCGCCCCCCCACCCCCTCCCGTTGGTCCGGCCAGCTCACAGACTCTCCACCCCCCCACACGCTGCCACCGGCCTCTCCTATTGGCTGAGACGAGAGACATAAGCCCCGCCCCCTGTGTTCCTCTAAGTCCTGCCCACAGCCAAACCGTCGGCCACAGCTGTCGCAGCTCCACGCGGGCGGGCCACTCGGGTGAAGGCGTTTGGCGTGTGTGTTCAGATTGCTCCTGCGGGAAAACCTGGCCATGCACACCGTGCACTGGAAGGGTCGCTCGCCCGTGTGCGTCTTCTTGTGGCGCTTCATGCTGCTGCTCTGAGCAAACCTGGCGCCACACACGTCGCAGCGGAAAGCTTTGTCGGGCCGGTGTATGCCAGAGTGGACTTTGAGCGACGTGCTCTGGGAGAAGCGTTTGTGACACACGGGACACACGTACGGCCGCTCCCCCGTGTGGATGCGCACGTGCTTCTTCAGCGCGTTCCTCTCCACGAAGCGTAACCCACACACGTGGCACACGTACTGGCGCTCGCCTGAGTGGATCCTCACGTGGTTCACCAGGTTGCTGTAGTCGGAAAACCTGGCGTTGCAGTCGTGGCAGCGGAACGGTCTCTCCCCGGTGTGCGTGCGCACGTGCGTCTTCAGGTTGCCCTTGAGGGAGAAGCGAGCACCGCAGAACTCGCACTGGTACGACTTGCTGCACTTCCGCTGGCCAGATTGCACTTCTCTGTGTGGCTTCTGGCCGACAATACAGGGTTCCTGGCCACACTTGACGGGCAAGGTAGGGCTAGAGTTACCCCCCTTCTCCGTGCGGTGTCCCGAAGTTGTTGCAATAAACCGTGGGTCAGTTCCGCGTGTCTCCCCAGGGTTGTGGCGTACCGAGGTGGGCCAACAGTTACCCCCCCTTGTCTTCGCGTGATCGCTGGAGTGGGACGCACAGTCAGAGTTACTTCCCCTGGAGCTGTGGCCATCCCTGCCTGTGGAGACAGAGACAGACTTACCTGCCCCTGGCTCTACAAGACCACAGTGTGTGGAGACACAGTTTGAATTACCTCCCCTTGTCTGCCGACGGTCTCCGACTATTTGGGCAACAATACTCCCCCGTGCCTGCTGGCCTGCCCTGGTCGCGAGACAGGGAGAGAGTTTGCCAGCAGTAATTGTGGACTCTTTTGCAGGCACGCCGGGGTAGACATCTGTGTAAGACACACGTTTATCTGACGTCACTCTGTGGACAGATGGAGCTGGCACGCCGGGGTAGACATCTGTGTCAGAGACACGTTTGTCTGACCCCAAGCTGTGGACAGATGGAGCAGGCACGCTGGGGTAGACATCTGTGTCAGAGACACGTTTGTCTGACGCCAGTCTGTGATGAGCACTCGCAGACACATCGCTGAGAGTTACGCTAGAGATAGAACCGTCTGTGCCCGACGCCAGTGTGTCGCCAGCCCTAGCGCGTGCCTCAACGTCAGACCAGCGGCCCAGCGCCACCGTGTGGTTCTTACAGCCGCTGTACTCTGGGTGGTGCCCGTGGTTGTTGTGGTTGTTGTTGTGGTGGTTGTTGTGGCAGTTGTTGTTTTTGTGGTTGTAGCAGTTGTCTATGTGGTGGTTGATGTTGCAGATGTCAGCTGTGTAATGTGGTAGTTTGTTGTGGTTGTGGTTGTCAGCTGTGTAATGTGGTAGTTTGTTGTGGTTGTGGTTGTCAGCTGTGTAATGTGGTAGTTTGTTGTGGTTGTGGTTGTCAGCTGTGTAATGTGGTAGTTTGTTGTGGTTGTGGTTGTTTGCTGTGTTATTATGGCGGAGGTTGTTGCAGTGGTCGTGGTAGTGTGTCATGTCGCTGTAGTTGTCAATGTGGTGGTTGTAGTTGTCACCCGCTGTGTTACCATGGTTACTGCAGTTGTCCCTGACCGGACTCCTCTCCTCCTTGTTGTGGGTACCGTCGTGTCTGGTGGTAGGTGGCGTGTCACTGTGTTGTGGTGTGTCCATGGGGCGACGCGTGTCATTGTGCTGTGTTGTGTCACTGTGGAGTGGTATGTCACTGTCTTGTTGTGTGTCATTGTGGTCTTTGGTGTCACTGTAGTGTGCAGTGTCAAGGTGTGGTGTGTCACTGAGGTGTGGTGTGTCATTGTGATGTGGTGTGTCACTGAGGTGTGGTGTGTCACTGAGGTGTGGTGTGTCACTGAGGTGTGGTGTGTCACTGTGGTGTGGTGTGTCGTTGTAAGGGTCACTGGGGTGTGGTCTGTCACTGTGGTGTGGTGTGTCATTGTGATGTGGTGTGTCGTAGTGTGTGTCACTGTGGCATGGTGTGTTACTGTGGTGTGGTGTGTCGTTGTGAGTGTCACTGTGGTGTGGTGTGTCACTGTGGTGTGGTGTGTCGTTTTGAGTGTCACTGTGATGTGGTGAGTCACTGTGGCGTGGTGTGTCGTTGTGAGTGTCACTGTGGCGTGGTGTGGCGTTGTGAGTGTCACTGTGGCGTGGTGTGGCGTTGTGAGTGTCACTGTGGTGTGGTCTGTCACTGTGGTGTGGTGTGTCATTGTGAGTGTCACTGTGGTGTGGTGTGTCACTGTGGTGTGCTGTGTCACTGTGGTCATCATCTGTATCCTCGAGGTGACGGCTGTCGCGACGTGTGGTGCAGTTGCTAGGGTAAACGCTCGGGTAAGGGAGGGTGTAGTTCGGATCTGGGTGATCGTCGCTAAGGAGGGTGTGGTTGATGTCGTGGGTGTGGTTGCAGGGCTTGTGCTCACGATGACCGTTGTTGTTGTTGTTGTTGTTGTTATAGATGTGGTAGTCGCTGCAGCTGTTCTCCTTCTGTGCCGCTGTACTGAGGTTGTCGTCGTGGTTACCGCGGTCTGGGAACTCACAGTCCGGGATGTCTCTGGCAGGGCCTGAGAGGTTGCCGAGGGCTGAGCATTCCGAGCCCTGACCTTGACCCCAAACTCTCTCTGCTACATCTCCCACGGCACTCACAGTCGCTGTCTGTGAACCCCCGGCACCTAGTGCAACATTCACAGGCCCCGAGTGCCCTCCCCTGGCACGGCCAGCCTCCGCTACACCCGACCACACGGACAGAAGGGGCGCCTCCTCACCAGATAAATTTGTCTTCCTGTGCGTCCGTTTGTGCGTGTGCATGTTGCTGCGTCGGGAAAACCTGGCCAGACAGATGTCGCACTGGAAGGGTCGCTCGCCTGTGTGGACCTTCTTGTGTCGCAGCACGCTGGTGCGCTGTGTGAAGCGCGCGGGACACACGTCACACTGGTACGGCTTCTCGGCGCGGTGCGTCGACTTGTGCAGGTTGAGGTTGGAGCTGCGGGAAAATGTCTTGCCACATACCTGGCAGCTGTACGGCCGCTCGCCAGTGTGGATGCGCACGTGGCGCTTCAGCTGGCCGCTCTCGGTGAAGCGAACCCCGCAGAAGTCACAGACGAACCTCTTCTCCCCCGTGTGAATCCTCTCGTGGTTCGTCTTGCGCGTCTGGTCGGCGAACCGCATGTGACAGAAGCGGCAGGAGAAGGGTTTCTCGCCCGTGTGCGTGCGTGTGTGTGTCTTGAGGTTCCCCCGCTGGGAGAATCGCGCCCCACAGAACTCGCACTGGTACGGCTTCTCCGCAGAGAACAGACGCCGGCGCTCCCCGCCCTGTACGTACAACATCACAGGGTCCTCCCCAGGCGTGTCCTCCCCACACTTGTCCTCCCCAGGCGTGTCCTCCCCACACTTGTCCTCCCCACACTTGTCCTCCCCACACTGCTCTCTCTCACTCTTTCTCCTTTCTCCCGCACACTTTCTTCCCCCACATTTGTCTTTGTCCCTCCCACTTTTTCTCTTTTCTGCCCCACACTTCTCCCTACCACATTTGTCTCTCACCCTCTTTCTTTTCCTTCCCCCACACTTTCCTCCCCCACACTTTGTCACATCCAGGATTCTTCGCCAGCCACTTTTCCGAGACAGCCAACCTGGCAACAGCATCCCCGCATGGTGACACATCCGCGGCAGGAACACG